TCATCATCTTAAACCATGTACTCAAATCCAATAGAGCACCTTTGGGATGGGGTGGGACAGGAAGTTCACAATGCAACTGTGTGAAGCATTCATATGATAAGTATTTCCAGGATCTTGTTGAATCTGTGCCACAAACAACTATGGCAGCTCTGAAGGCAAAAGTGGTTCAATCTGGTACTAGCAAGGTGTACCTAATGAAGTGTCCTATTGAGTGTATGTCAACTTCATTTACAAATATGAAACCCCCGCAAAGTATTAGAAATCTGCAGTATATGCATACTACTTCAGAACTGCAAACAATTATTGGAATTATTGCAGTAAAGTGTACAAGTGTTTATGCTGAGCGTAAATGAAGTGTGTTCTTCTACATTATCAGGTAGGTTTATTAGTATGTATTAGGAAAGACTGTCGGCACATGAAGTTTGTAAGTAATGCTTATCTCCTCTGTTTGACAGGGGGAATAGCTTTGAGGGACATCAAAAACTGGAAGCCTGACAATGATGAAGAGTCTCAGAGTGCCACTGTGAAGTCTGTTTGCAGTGTTCCTGGAGTGCAGGACCCTCTAGGCAGCTCAATCATGACTCCCGATGATATTTAAACAAACAGATGTCTGCGTGGTGGTGGATCAGAAGATGCTGCTCTCAGAAAATATTTATTTTGACATTATCAAAACAGGAACAGAAAGGTTGGCTATTTACAAGAACAGAGTACTGTGTGGACCTTTGCACTTTTATATGACTGTTTTTGTTTTTTGTTTTTGTATACCAACTGCATAACTTGACCTGTCAGTGGGTTTCATTCATTTTTTAAAATAATTTTGTTTGTTTGTTTTTTAATGACAACAGTTGAATTATTTAAAGCAATGTTTTATCTCACTGACTTAGTTAGCGAGGCAGGTCAGTCTCTGTTCCATTTCAGTTAGACAGATGTATTTTTGCATCTTTTTGAAAACTAAATATATCACGGTGTAGTTTCCTGTTCATTTCACTGATGGTAACATTTGAGAATCTTTCCGTTTTTATCTGATCACCAAAGAGAGAACCTTATATGGGAAAAATGTTTTGTCTAACTGTGAAGAGTGGAGCAGATAGTGGCCTGAAATAACACTTCAGCTCTCTGTTCCCTTTCTATGAACAACCGATTTTAAAGTTGACGATGTTAAGCACACCCTTTTTTGCTAAATATGACAGTAAAGAATATAAAAACCATGTTTGCTCTGTTATTTTATTTCTTAACTTCCAGTGTCTACATCATTTTACAAAATACAAATATGTATCTGACTATTTGCTTTGTTGGCAATATACAGCATGAAAAATAGTCATACAGCTTTGACACACACCTAAAGATGAAGCATTAAGGTAGGACTTTTTGGAATGGGTTACAGTTGAAGTCATACATTTTAATGAATGACACAGGATGTTGCAGTTGCAAATCCCTTCAGTTTGCCAGCAGGAGGCTCCAGAAATGGAATTAGCAGTTTGTTTGTGTGTTGTTGTTTTTTTGTTTTTTTTGTTTTTTTTAAAACAATATGACTGTGTGGGTGTGTGAGCTTTCCTTTGTTTACAGGGAGTGCAGAATTATTAGGCAAATG